TTGTCACTCTGATGCTCACAATGGAGCTGCATGTTGTCGAGTAACGATTGATGGAAAATATATACAATAGTAAGCACGCAAATTATAAAATAGCACATTAAACAAATTTATTGATATTCGTGAAAATAATTTATTATACACGGAAATAATATGGCTTACAAAGAAATGTCAATAACTGCATAATTGTATATTGTCATTAGTATATTGAAAATACCCCAGAAGTATAACATCTTTCTTATCTTGATGTATCACATATACATTGATGACTACTACGAGATGTTTTGTGAACCACCATATTGATACATCTACCATAGCTATTACACTTTACATTTTTTAAAGTATTGAGGAAAGCCTGATTTAAGAGGTTTTATATCACCTTTATATATATATACATATATATATATTAATGAAATACTTGGTAAGATGATACCCACACAATAAAATTGACGTACTATGTATGTTACCATGTTCTTGTGTGTGGTGTGACTAATTTGCTTTGCACGTTTTCCTTACTGATGTACTTTGAGGCGCTGGTGGAGGTATAAGAAATATAATTGGATGATGTATACAGTCTCTAGTTTAATCATATTTGAATATGTAACGCATTGTAAAAACCGCCTTGAATATGTGCTGCTGTATTCTGACAGCAATTTAGAGACGTTTTCATTAACGAATATTTATTTTAATATTTTGTTATCCTAGCCGACATCGTTAATTTATGCTCACACCTGTTTGATTAAACATTACGGAATCCTGTTCTGACATGAACAGCAACAATTAGTGCCTGGCTCGACAAAATACGAATGTTTGCTATCCAAATAATTGCTTAATTACACTTTTTCAATAAGTGGGAAATTGATTCATTTGATAGTTTTTCCGGCTTAGCATAAATACGTGCAATAAACATCCAGATTGATTATATTTTGCACAAAAAAAACTAATTTCAGTAATTATAAAAACATAAAATTTGTATACAGTACAGTTTGAAATACATTATATACTGACCCCAGTGCATATTATAAGTAGACACTTGATCAGAAACACAGTACACATCATAGCGGTGCAATTGGCTTGCTTTTTTATTTGCATGTTTTGGTTTCTGGACTTTTCGTTTAAAATTTCATACATTGCCATTTAAAATAATACATATTTGCACACACCACAACAAACAAGCAAACGAGGGGTAACTGGCTTAATGACCTTTAGGTCGTTCACTGTGATCTGCAAATAATGACTCAATAAATATTCACACGTTAGCGGCAAATAGGAGTTGGTACCTCATAATAATAGAAAACATTATATATTAATATAATTCACGAAACCGTTTAATTATTTCCGCGAGCTATAGAAAATGACAAGTATAGTACACGCAAATAAATTATAAAATCGGATGTGTCTTTTGATTATATTGAAAATTACTTGTGTTATAATCTGTTGATGTTATTTCTCGTTGCAAACATTATTGTGAGAATTAGTTGTCGTTGTGGCGTAGAGGCCGCACACAACTGGTTATACTGGTATTGCGTAGTTGATTCACTATTAGATTCGCAAACTGAAACAAACTAAATCTTCAAACTATAATCCTGTTTTATTTATAGTGCACAGAAAAGTAAACAAATTGATATACAAACGGTAATTCACTTGAAGAAATAATT